CAATCCATAAACCCGAACTCCATCTTCTTTGAATCATAAACTTGTTGATCAAAGAGCTATTGTAAACCTTTTGAATGATTCACCTTTGGGTTTTCTAGGGTTATTTGTTTGTTTTACGGTGCATAGACCTTCTGACTAACCTAAACAGTTGTTGTAACATGATTCAACTTATATATCAAACCTACCGGTTAACTTTTTAGTAATGTGGAAGTTAATTACTGTAAGGTGGCATTTTTATAATCAAACAATGGAATGTATGTTGGATCTCCAAACTAAAGAGTATTTTTTTCCATTGTTATAATCAAAAGTTTAATTTTAGTATTTACTTATCAATTCTAAGTTCACACCACAAGTTGTTGTAATGCACACTACGTGCACAGCAATCATACATTTTCTATTTTGAGTTCTAGCAGATAACTCCCTGTGGGTTCAACCTCAGACTTAATCGAGCAATATTAAAACTTAACCACTTATACTTGGGTGTATGATTAAGATCAAATCAGTGTTCATTCCTCTAATTAAGATTGAAAATAGTACAAACAATAAAACATAAACAAAGCTCCTAACTCTTCCTCGAGGTTAGATTGAAGCACCACCACCCTTCCTTTACCAAGACAAGCAAGGAAGAGTGAGAGAGGTTTACTCCTCCAAGTAGAAGGAGGTCTTCAAAAAATTGTAGAAAAGACAATAGACTAGGAAAGCCATAAAGTATAACTGAAGAATGATTTGAAAAACTACTGGGAGGGGAGTATTTATAGAAGAGGATTAGGCAGCACCTTCCATAATAGGCCAATATGATTCAAGTATTGCCACAGTTGACCAATGGGAGGAAAAGAGGTAAGTTGGTTTCACCACCATCCGAATGCCAGCTTCCACCATCTGGGCGGTGCTCCTCTACTGGACTTCGACAAATTTTTTCCTTGGTGTCTTGTCCGAATGTTGGACCCCACCATTCAGATGGTGCATGGCCTTCCAAATGCTAGCAGTAATATTGCCTCAATGTTCTTTTTTGCACTTTGGCCCCTTAGCTTTCCAATTTCATATTTTAGACCCTCTAATTTCAAAATAACATGTTTTGACCCATTAGTACAAAAATCATTTAACTTTTAACCCTTTAACAATTTAATTAATGCAACTAACCCATAAACTTTTATAAATAATACAGCATTTTAGGGTTAATCAATTACCCTTCACAAACACGATCTTTGATCATATGGGGATGATGTTCTCATTAGTATAGCCTAGGCCTCGTTTGTCATCCACAGTCATCCCTACAGACAACATTTTATTCAACTTTTGTGTGCTTAGAGAAAGTCTCATTGAGAGTTCTTGTGATTCATGAAGATCCCTATTAAGTTTGACAAGTTTAAATTCTAGGCTCTTCTTTGACTCTAAAAATCCATTGTTCTGACCCTCAAGAAAGCTCACTTTGTCTAGGAGAGACTTCTTCTCTTCCTCATGCCCACAAATATAAGCTTTGGACTTCACTAAGTCTACATGAAGTACTTTCTTATCTTGTTCACTCATTTTGAGCCTCGTTCTCAATGAAATCAACCTCTTCTTTTGTTTAAGACACTCCTCATATAATTGAAAGCATGCATCTTAGAGGTCTTCAACACTCTCAGCCTCATCCTCGCTGGTAAAGACTTCAACATTCAAGTCATTTACCTTCGCGATAGATCTTGACTCAACCTCCACCCTAGAAGTTTCTATGAGGAGGAGGCATGTGAAACAACGAAGTGTATGAAATTCTATTCATCACTATGAAGAGAAGTCATCACTCGATGTAGACTCTCTTTCACTCTCACTTACCTTAGCTTTCAAGGCTCTCCTCCTTTCTTTGGGCATGTCCTTTTTCTTTGTTCTTGGACATTTCGCAACCACAGGTCCAAAACCATAACATTTGTAGCATTGGAGACCTTGCCCTTTCTTCTCAACTTCTTGTCTAGAAGTTTTACCCCTCCTTCTTTTCCCTTATTAGGAAATTAGGAGGGTATTTTGCAATTTTTTGTTATATATTAACTACGTTGACTTAATCTTTCATAAATTTTTTTAAGCTAAATTATAATGGGTTTTAATCTTTGATATATACTTAATCATTGAACTTTAAAATTTGGAGCTTTTTGTGTTGGGGGGCATACTTTTTCAACTCTACTGTTCAATCGGCCATGGTGCCACCTGTACTCTTTTACCATCAATAGAACAATGTGGTTAAGATGATTGCAGGATCTGGAGAGGGTTTTAAGATAATATAATTGTATACTAATTATGATTTTTTAAGAAAAAAATAGATTTTAATTTTTTATTTTATATCAATAAATGATACAATAAAATATGAATTTTGGTTGTAAAATTTAAAATATTAGATATTCTATTTTTTATTGGAGTATTTTTGGTCTAAGTATAATATTTTAAACTTAAGGGGTCTAAGTATTATATACCTACAAATATCAGGGGTCTAGATATAATTTACTAATGGAGATTGACGACAAAGTTTAAGTGTTAATGCGTGTACAAACGTCAAAGGAACTATATGTAATATTTCAAATATCAAGAAATTTGAATGATTAAGTAATAAACCTTAGGAGGTCATCTTAATTTATCAATCAATCTCACGTTTGATAACTGCCCCTAGAAGAATTACTCCGCAAGTTTGCCTTACTAGCCCCAATTACACACTATCTCCATCTCCCCCCTCCTAATTTGCCTATAATTAAAATTACAGCTCCGAAGTTGTCTTATTACCTCCACCTTCCTCAGGGCCAGAGTTGAAAATTCTTTCTTGAGTGGATACTTAAACAAGGTTTATTTCCTTTTTTTTTCTTTTCAATCGATTAAATAACATTATACATTTATATTCACTAAAATCGTATTTGATACTTAAAATTCATTCCATACAAAGGATCAAAAACCATTCATAGTATTATTGTGAACTATTTGAATCTCTAATAAAAGTAAATCGTAACTCACGAGAGAAAAAATATTAGAAAAGAGTTTATACAATCATTGTGCGTCGTACAATCACCGATCACTTCTTATCCTCTCTCTTTTCCTTTTCTTTTTCTTATTTTTGGTTTAATGTTCAACAGTATCCAAACCAGCTTATGCGCACTTCGACTAGTCCTTTCCCCGGTACGGTCAAAAACAGGTCATCCACGTCGGGACTAAAGGATTTATGAGGGATAAATCCTTCATGAATCGGCTCCAAGAGGTTGCCAAAATTTAAACTCATGACTTCTGGGTTTACAACTAGTCCCTATTAACACTTTAGCTACCCTTTTGAGTTCCCTCTTTTTTCAAATGACCCCTCATTTTAGTCTCATGAGAATGTTCTCATCATACAGACATAACTAGATTTTTATTTTTTTTAACTCCCAATTATTGTAATTTTATGTTGTGAGGTTGATTTTTCAATAAACTAATAAAAATAAACCTTATTTTATTACACAATGATTGTAATTTTTATATAGTAACAAATTAACCTTGTAATTTTTTTAAGTTATAAAATAATCCCAATATGACCAAAACCTATCCGGAGATTGGTAATGTTTGAAGCGTCTCCAAAAATCACTAGTCATTTAGGTATTAATTCATATGAGATGAAAAATCATAGAATATGCATGATTGAATGTGCTTAACAAACATTTATAATACATGTAGGTAATGTTAAGAAAACAACTAGTCCTCAAGTGGCTACACCACTGATCTGGCTCCCTCCCTCCTTCTCGCATTAGAAGAATAGAATTAATTAGCATATAAAAATATTATTATAACTTCATTATAGTATATAAAAAATAAGGTATATATAATACATAGGATATAAAGAGGGTAGCCATAATCAAACCCACATCATTAACATAGAAGACTAGGAGTTATAGTCAACTTGGATTCATCATTTTTAAAGTTTCTCTAAATCAAAATCAAATATAAAACTTTGGTTTCATTCAGCTCTGAATGGCTCCCTATTAAATCCCAATTGTGTTAGGGATTTCATATTTTATTTTTTCATTCAACAAAAACTTTATATCTCCGACTTCTTATTGGTATTGTTGGTTGACAAACTCTGACGAGAAAGGGATTTCTTTTTTGATTGTGGGGTATAACTCTATTGTGTTTCTATGGTGGGGATGGGCTCGGTGGTAGACCTGTTGGGTGGTGGCAAATCATGGTTAGGATAGAGAGAGAGAGAGAGAGAGAGAGAGAGAAAGTGAATTACATAGATTTTGGAGTTTTGGTTGCTATGGCTAGGAGCTGAACATGGAGGATCGTTGGGTCGCTGGAATTAAGATTAATTTTATCAATTTAATATTCTTTTAATATTTTAACTTTATCATTTCAATATCAAATTGACATTGGTGAAGTTTGGATTGTGACAAGTAGTGAAGGCTAAAATTTTTCCAAGCTTACAAATTGGATGAATGTGTTTGTGTGTGTGTGTGAGAGAGAGAGAGAGAGAAAGAGAATTAGTGTATCTAATATGTAGAAGATGAAATTAAAAGACATGAGGGTTGTTTGGTTTCAAGCTTAGCTTTGCTTGGAAAAAGAACACATGTATTTAACTGCAAGGCTTATTTATAGTTAAAGAGTATAATTGTCATTGTATTTGCTGATATCATCATTTTTTGGATATGTCATTTTGTCCCTGAAGGCAGGTGTAGCATGTGAAATGAACATTTAAATTATAGGGGATGACCAGGAGATTTGAGAAACCATAGAGAATGTTCTTGTAGTTAGGTTATTTTTCAAACGATGTCAATTAAAATTTACCCAAATAATTTTTAAATGAATATATATTAATATTTTAATATTTATTTAGTGGTATTTATATTATTGTATTGTATGCATTAACTCACTGAATATTTTTGCCTAAGACTCCATATTTGTCAGGCTGCCCTGATGAAATGTTCTACTGATCGATTAAGGTGTATTCTCAATGCATTCACTACACAACTATGCCAAGTAATACAAACTCTTTAATCTTTATATCTGTAAGCAACAACCTGATTGAACATGGCCAGAGTACTCCTCCAGTGCCTCCAGTTTTGTCCACTTATGATTTTTCAAACCCATTACGTAGACTCTGTGGGACTCGTCGAATCTTGTACAGCCAATCACTAACAACTTGTCCTGCCATGTTGTCACGAAGGCAGTATGTTGTACCTCAGTTGGAAGTTCAGCTACAACTTGCCCTGTGGAACTCTGTAGGACCGACACATCACCAGCCCGGCACATGAAGAGTCTTGCATCTCCACCGTCCGCGCAAGTCATTGGACACGTGGCAGTTTCCAAGAAGTTATCTTGGACTTGGTCCCACTGCCATGTGGCAACATCAAAAGCTTCGGCACTTCTTTCAAAGCGACCTTGCATCTCTGTGGGGTACCCACCAATGACATGGAACTTGCCACGGTGGAACCCCCCCTTGCACTCATCTCGCTCCCTTGCCATATCACGTAGTTGGACCCACTCATCTTATGTCACGTCATACATCATCACAGATCTTAAAGCATTCTTATTGTAGTCATGTCCACTAGCAATGAACACCGTTCGATTAGAATCAGACGCACAAGCATAGAATGATCTATGACCACCTGACATATCGGTCCCACGACGCCACTTGGCAGAAAGAAAATTGTAAATGAACAGAGCATTTGAAACCTCCCAAGTCACCTGATTCCACCCTCCAATCACCACTAGGTTCAACCCCAGTGCGGCAAGGTGGCAAAACATTGGCAACCCATCGGAGAACCCGAGCAGTGGTGGCAGCTCACTCCAACCACCCGTTTGCTCCTCATAAATCGTTAGTCGATAAACGGGTGTAGTCAAATACTTCATGAATCCATAGTTGTGGGTAGGGTCAACCTGTGCTTGTGTCATCACTAACACTAGTTGGCTTACATTGGCAACCTTTCGGCGCTGCCTAAATTCTGGCAGTTCATCTCTACCTTCCAGCTCTGACATACCGATGCAATGGAAGAAAAGTGTTTATAGGGGACTCGAATCAAACAATCGAGGCCAACGTCGTTTGGAAGATCGGGAATGAGCTCCATGACTGAATATACAGCATATATCACAACACAACTTGTTAAGTAAGAAAAGAAGGGTAGATAGATAAATTGTAGAAAGAAGGTTGGATGTGTTTTGTTTTTATAGATATAAATAGTGGGTGGTCCATTCCATTGTGAGAATGTCCATTGTTGAAAGGTTTGGTAGTCTTCTAGAAGGTTGAGGGATATTGGAGTTAAAGAGAAAGAGACTTTATGGTAGGACATAGCATTGGCCATACAACGTTTGTTATCATGTTGTTTTCTTCCACGGATTTTGCGTTTGCCTGCTTCTGCAGTCCACCGAAAAGCAATAAAAAAAGAAAAAAGTTGATACGTTTGAGGGTCTAGTGGTGTCTAGTTTTATCAACCACAGGTGCACAAACTCAAAAAGTCTGTGGGGATGCTACTATTTGGATTTGGATTTTTGCTTTACCCACTGAAATCAATTGGCTTGACCCGTAGCATGCTGGATTCTTTTTTTTTTTTTTACAATTTGCTTGTTTTATTTGGTGGAGGACACCATAACTCTTTTGTTTCTCTTGTATAACTAGAAACTGTATGGTAACACTTAAGTATCAAATTTTATTTTATTTTTAGTTGTTTTATACTTTTTTGGGATTAAGCTATAACAAAATGGAGTATTTTGAATCGATCTTAAAAATTTAAGATCAATCATTATTTTATTTTTGACACGCTTAATCCTATTTAATTGTAACTTAGCCCAAAAAAATTGCAATTTATCTCAAAAAATTCATAACTTAACCTGAAAAAAAAACACAATACTAAGCAAAAAACGATTTTCTACTAGCCTGTTTGCCTTTTTGCACTCAATATCGGGTCTATTTAAAGTTAGCTTAAATAGGTAATTTTTTAGGGATTTGGAGTAAAATAAGTCAGGTCCATTTCGACCTTGGCTTTTTTACCAACTTATGTATTAACTTTTTAGATCTAAAAAAAATATTTAAACTGATTCAAGAAACCAATTTTATGAGTTTTTTTTCTATTTTTTTTGGAGTTTTGTTACGGATTACACATAATTTTTTAGTTTATTATATTCATAAAATATTATTAGAGACATAAAAAATTTAAAAATTCATATTTTAGGAACTATTATGCATAATTCATACATACATGTAATTATTTTGTTATTTTCACATCAAAAGCTAAAAAAAATACTTCAAACAAACTTTTTCCAATTTTCTTAGCTTTTTAAAAAAAATACTCCAAACGATTTTGAAGGATTTTTTTAACTAATTTTTTTGCAAAATTTTTTAAATCATAATTTTTCACCTAAAAAAATCAATTCCAAAGAGACCCATTATCGCTGGTCACACCTCATGCCGGTGCTAGCTCACGGATTCTGCCTTGGGAAGGACGGTTGGAGATGGATTTTGTCACACACCACATGGTAATACCAAGTGATGCACACACCCAACAAGAAATTGTCACCACAGTAACTTGTGGAACATACAATTTTACAAAATGATTAGGATAAAATTTTTTCATTTAGAATGTAGAATATTTTATAGGTGATATACACTATCCGACACTGTCACGTGATGTGTATATATGTATTAAAAAATTGATCTTAAATAAGGGATCAAAATAGAAAATACTGACTATATGATATTAAAATCTTAGAAAACCAAAAACGAAATGCACTTCATGTAATCAGACACGGCTCTAGTTTCTACCAATGGGCGTAGTAGACGGGGCTGGAAGAGTACGGTGGCCACCATAGAGGTCCAACTAGTGGGCGTCACCATCAGCAGCAAATAAATTAATGTTAATGGCAATTACAATTGTACATTATCCTTGAAACAATCGTCATTGAACTTGTTATTGACTTGGGAGAGTAAAGTCCACGGTTTATGATAGATATTGAGTTAATTGTGATTCGACATTAAGGTTTAGCATTGATCTCATTGTACATGATATTATAATTACTAATATATATTTTTGGTTCAATAGTTAAAGATGTTTGAACTAGCATACACGTATTTTGATTAATTTTCTCTCTGACTCAGTCAAATGTAAGTCATCTATGCTAGAATTAAGATATTCATAAGAGAAAAATTTATTATAGTCTGATCTCAAAAGATTATTAAAATTTAAATTCATAATATCTGAATTTGCAGTTCATCCATCTATAATATAAAACAGAGCGGCTTCAACAAACAAATCCAACAGTCACAAATTATTTCATCCAACGGTCACATATCCTCTCATTTCCTCCCAAATTTTTCACCTATAATTTTTTTCCAAACCTTGATCAACTCAACCACTTCACTGTCAGATGGGCTCAATCACTTATTTTTCTCGGTACAACAGAAACAATGGCCTCAGTCACTTCGCTGCACTGCGGCCTTGGACATCGTTTTTTTTTTTGCCCCTACCTTCCGTCAGACAAGCCTTCTTCACAGGCCAAATCACTCTCTCTCTCTCTCTCTTTATCCCTCTCCCTCTGTTTCTTCTTACCAGCAACACCACCACCACCACCGTCACTGCTAACCCCTTCCAAGTATGCCTCATCTCTCTCTCTCTCTCACACACTCATTCTACCCCTGCCTCTTCTCTGCCCTCTTCTACCTACTCATCACCCACACACAAATCGCACACACACACAAACAAACCCAAACCCATCACACACATGCCCAACACAGACCCACCAGACACGCACCCACACCCACTCACCCACACACACATAACAAATAAACCCACACACCATTACAGACACACACAAAACACAAATTTTTTTCATTGTTTCCGACATTGTTCATATTGTTGAGTGTGTGGCTGATTATTATGTGCAGGACCCAAAAAGTCGTTACCCGGTGGTGGAGCGGTTCAACTATGCCTTGGATGAGATCCAAGAAGTCTAATGAATCCCATCTCCCATTGTAATTGCTGTCGAAATTAATCTTTAGCTAAAACGCTTTTGTGTATGAACGTCTGCGTATCATATTTTCTTGGTGATTCTCTATTACTGAATGTAATTCAGTTGTCACGCCCAAGTTTATTTAATTATCCTGCTTTTATTTTGTTGTTCAGTCCACCCTTATTATGATTTCTCATAATTTTATATGATTACTGAAACCTGTATGCCTTGCTTTTAATATGTCAGCATTCATCCGCCACCAGCCTTTGGTTCATCTACTAATCCTGAAGCCCTTGCACTTGAAACAAACAAAGGTCAAGTTGAAGATGGGGACAGTGTCGTACATGGTCGTCTAAAATTCTCCCAGTATATTATTGATATTTTCTTACTTTTGATCTTGCCTTACTCCACAAATTTCCTTATCAGCAAAAAACATGTATTGGTGCTTCCAGAGATCTCAAATACAAGTGAACTTCAATTTCTCCACAAATTTCCTTATCAACAAAAAGCATGTATTGATTGCATTTCCCCTTGCTTGCTTTTGCCTGCTGTATAGTTTGGTTACAAGAGATTATTAAAATTCAAATTCATGATATCTGAATTTACAGTTCATCCATGTTATAATAATGTATTATTGTTACATTTTGAAAAAATAATAAATTTATTTTGTCATCTCAAAATGGGTGCATGAGACGGTGAGTCATATGTCCCTAAAAACTGATGGAGACTCATATATGTGTGACCTTGGTGTCTATGCGAAGGATCAAGGTGAGTTCTTACTCCATGTGCGTGTATATATGCATAAGCTGATGGAGACCCTTATCTGTTAGTTACCCCCATTTAGATAGTTAAATGTGCAAAGGAATAAAGGAGTTCACACACACAGAGGCAGAACTCAGAGACAAATATTTAATACAACGGTTACACTACGTCATCGCCCCTATATGGTATAACTGATCAATAATAAATAAATAAGACAAGTGAACCCTATTAATCCTATATAAAAGTTTTGAATGTGAAAGTTAGCAATTGTTATACAATTTAATGGGATTCACTAGTCTTACTTGGTTATTCATAATTGGTCGGTTACATGACGTTACGATGATAATATGGTATAACAGTTACATTGAATATTATCCAACGGCAGAGGGCCAGGATGGTTTAGGAAAATATTTAGAAAACAAATAATGATTTAAGGAAAATTGTCTCCCTTGGCTCAGTGATTATTGATCATTGCCTATTGTGAGGGAATCATTTAAATATAATAGATTGTACATAGCTGAATTCATTCACAATGGATAATTGTTTTATAATGAACCAGAATGGATTTAGAATTGGAGATGAGCCTTACACGATGTTACTAGCTAACCCTTCCTATTTATCTAAACTCCCGAACAATTACACCAAAAACTCGAATTTTTGTTGAATATATTTTCTGATAGTATCATGATGGTATCTCGACTTTTAAACATCTTGAATATAACTTGAAAACACAAGTATCTGCACATGGCTAACTGAAGTATTTCAGTAAGATGATCGAGTGTAAAATACTAGCTAAGCCTAATTAAGCCCACAGGTGATGTCAACCTGCATATGTCTTAGCTTGAGTTCTTGGCTATCCTTTTTATTTCATCATTTTCAAAATACATACATAATTAAATATTATATACATACACTCTATATGTGTGTATGTGAGAGAGAGAGAGATCCTATATGTCTAAACAACAGCGTGACTGAACATGGCCTGAGTATTCCTCTGGAGCCTCTAATCTGGCTCACCTCTGATTATTTAAATCCATTACATAAGCCCTGTGGGGCTCACCAAATTTTGGAGAATCAATCACTAATAATCTATCTTGTCATCTCGTCAAATAAGTTGCATCGATCACTTCAATTGGTAGTCCAATTATGACTTGTCAAGTGGCATTCTCTAGTACAACCACGTTACCTTCCCGACATACCGTCCACGCAAGTCCGACAAGTTGCAATTCCCAAGAAGTTCTCCTCCACATCTCTCCATTGCCACGTGGCAATATCAAAAGCCTCAACACTTCTCTCAAAACGACCTTGTCCCTCTGTGTTATAGCCACCAATGACGTGGAATTTTTCATTGTGAAACACACCTTTGCACTCATTCCTCTCTCTTGACATGTCGGGTAGTGGAGTCTGTGCATCTTTTACCACGTCATACATTATCACCGAGCTCAATGCATTCTTATTGTTGTCATGTTCACCAGCAATAAACACCATCAGATCAGAATTGGACGCACATGCAAAGAAAGATCTTGGTCCACCTGGCACATCAACCCCTTGCCGCCACTTGGCTGATATGAAATTGTATATAAAAACCAACTTAGAAACCTCCCAAGTCACTGGGTCATACCCACCAATAATAACCAAATCCAATCCGACCCCAACAAGTTGGCAAAACAAGGGGAGCCCATTGGGAAACCGGGGCAATGGTGGTAGTTTATACCAATTACCACTTTCTGCCTCATAAACAAGAAGTTGGTATGCCGGCATGAACATGAACTTCATGGCATGGCTCTCCTTTGCTTGAGCCATCACAATGATAGGTCGGGTTAAGCCGGTGATTTTCTGACGATGGCGAAATTCCGATAGCTCAATCTTAGCCTTCCAAGTTGTAGATACCGATGCAGCAGTCGATAAATCGACAGAAACACGAATCAGACACTCGTAGGCAACGTCGTCCGGGAGACCCGGGATGAGCCCCATTTACGAGACTTTATGTATCGCTTTGTAATAAGCAAAAAGGATAGCTTGTGTGTGTTTTTCTGGATACACAAAGAACATGAAGAAAAGAACAGCAAAGAAGAAAGAAATGAAAGTTTGATGGTGATATAGATTTGGTGTTTGCCTTGTATAGAGAGAGAGAGAGAGAGAGAGATGATGCTCATGTAGAGAAGTTTAATAAGTATTAAGTTGGCGGAGACTTTGGGAAGAAGACTATAGAAATGTCGAGTTGTATCGTTTGTGATTCCCATTAACTGATTTTTTCTGTTGGCCCATATGATTAAATTATTTGTTAAATTGATAGCGGACAATTTAAGGATAAAATTGATGTTTGTTTCGTTTGTTTGGTTCAATGAATTTGAATAAGATACAGTCAACCCGGATTAATGCTCCAAACAAAAACTACTATTTGAATCTGATTTGGAAATTTAATCTGATGGCTAAGTTAATTACGACTATTAAATTAAAAATATATTTCATTTAACATTAAAATTCACTACCAAAATTCTAAAATTCACTACCAATATATTTCATGGGCATTTCAGATTGTGGATATATGTCACATTGGGGGTCCACCAAGTCTATTGAAACGTACGCTATTCTCCAACGAATTTTTTTTTTTTATTTGAATTTTTGAACAATGAGTTGGGATGAGAGAGTGTGACTAGATGTGGGTGAAAGGATATTAGGTGTGAAATTTGCAGCTAATGGTAAAGTGTGTTGATTCTAAGCCAGAGCCACATACAATTTTATTACCAATTGTCATCAAAGTTTATATTCTCATGAAGGCATCAACCAATAGAAATATGTTTGAGTATAATAGGATGTATTAGTAGTTAAAGTCGTTTCTTATCAGCAGTTTGAGATCTTCTTTTCCAATTTGATTAAGTTGTCTAATAATGTCTCAAATTTATCTTCTTTCCTAAATTGATTAATTTGTCTAAAAATGTTAGAGAAATGAGAAAAGAAACCGTTAAATAATTAAAACAGAAGAGTGAAAAGTTGAAGGTGTAGGAGAGTGGTAATATGTGAAATATAAAAAAAGAAAATTCTTTAATAAATATAAGTCAAAATAGTAGAATTAAACAAAAAATAAGTGAACACTTCCCAAACTCTCTTTCCATAGATAGATTTGAGGCCCATAAACGAAACCCGCTTCTAAGATGTAATATCTAGCACACTTGTAGAAATGTTTAAATATAGACATTCTCAGCAAGAAAAAACCATCATAAAAAGAAGGCAAGTCTGACAAAGCAGATATATACAATTTTATTCAGCTTACCGGTAAAAACAGAGGCCATCATTAGACAGATAAATACCAATCCAAGAGGACTTTTTTTGGTTTAACTGCTGCCAGGGTCTGTGAGCCTTAGGGCCGCCACAAAACATTATAAAACTTGTACGCATGAAACATGGAATTTTAGTCTGGGGGATTCAGTTTCCTCCGATGTTTTAAAACCCGGTCCGGTCCGGCGGGTTGACTCGGTGAACCGGTGTCTAAATCGGGCCAGTTCAACAATCAGACCGTTTGTACATTAAACCCAGAATAAATCCATTGAACCGGATAAAAAATCACTGAACCGTTCAACCCGGGCGAGTTAAACCAAACTGGATGATTCATTTAATTTAGTATAAATACCTAAGCTTTTGCCCTTTTTGGCATTTTACTCTAAATCGCTTTAGCCTTTGCCTCTTCGTCTTCGGCTCCACCTCTGCCTCTTCGTCTTCGGTTGTGCCTCCTGGAGTCCTCTGTGCCTCTACCTCCTAGAGCCTCTTACGCTCTCGTTCTCGCAATTTCAATCTTGATCGAAGTGGAAGAAAATCCAAAGTGACTTGATCGATCATAGCTCCATCAAGCATCGACGATTACTAGCATGTGACGCCCCAAAACTCGGGGGTTCATTGATTATCCATCAACCCGCGAAATACCCGTGGACACTGAGTAACTCGATATCACGCCATGATGCCCCATTTATCGGGGTCCTTAATTTAACGAAATTCGAGCAGAGTTTCATTTGTACGGGAAACTCTACTCAAAGCACAACCTGTACAATATACATTAACATGACTCATCCGAGACCCAATATAACACAATGACCACACCAGGTCTATTTATAAGTAAAACTTGACCACACCGGGTCCATTTATCCATACTCAAATAAAAGATGCATCATTATATTAAAACAGCCCATATAAACTCAGTTACAATTCTTTTACACATTACATACCCAAAACATAGTTTTACATAAACCAAAGTTAAAGGCCATAATCCAGCCTCTCTTAACCTTTGAGGATCCAAGTGAGGGCCGTCCACCGGTGTGTATCCAGGACCTGAAATGTTTTTCCGTATAGAGTGAGTCACGCCCAGTAAAGTAATTCCTATAAAGGCTACTCCCCACCTAAGTGCACATGCAATGCTCACATACAACATTTAATATTCACATCAACATTCCAAGTAAGAATATGCATTCAATGTTGGAATTGATCATGTCATGTCATGAAATAAGATGAGACTCACTCATGCAAATCAACCCGAGTCCTTCCCAGCTCCTCAACACATGTAAGTGACAATGTGTATGGAATTTTACCAATCTAGGGTTTTTGTATGGGGTGGATGTTCATGGGCTTACACTAAGGGTCTCCAATTTACTCGAAATTTATGGACTTCCACCAAGGACTCCGCGTACACCCACACACTTCGTGGGTCAGGCCAAGAGAGTGCATATCCCAATCACTGGGTCTTGCAACCAAGGGATCTTCTAGTCCCTCCTTGCTAACCCCAACCCTAATCACCATACAACCTTTGCGCCTCGGCCAAGTCTTCGACCAAGCTTAATCGAGTCCACTCATCATCCACCAAGTGTGGTGTTGACAACCACCATGCACACACCCACATGATGTGATGTTACCATGCATATGCAATATGATGTCTCATTGCACAATGATAACATATTCAATATGCTATGAAAGACATGAACAATATCAATAAATTTTACATATCCCATGGTAAAATTATATCATAAGCATATAATTCTCATAATTCTCCACAATTTCAATATAATACAAGCATGTATACACATTGACAATTTTTATATCACAATTCCACAACACAATTTCAAGCATGTTATCACAACTTTTATGTCAATAACACACTTAATCACAAAGATACAATATACCACATAACCGCACATGTAGTAGCCCACATAACAGCCCTTATATAAGTCACAAAATAACTCCTAGATAAGCCACCAAAACAGTTCCTATATAGGCCATAAAATAGCCCCAAATTTAGCTACAAAATAGCCCCTAAACATGTCATTATACAGCCCAAAAGACAGCCATAAAATAGCCCCTATATAGGCTATAAAAAGCCTCAAATTCAGCCACAAAATAGCCCCTAAATAGGCCATTAAACAGCCTAAAAGACAACCACAAAACAGGCCATTAAACAGCTCAAAAGATAGCCACAAAACAACCCCTAAACAGACCATTATACAGCCCCAAATTCAGTCCAAAATACAACCACATAACTGTCCATATTTTAACCCAAAACGGTCCATCATTTCAACCCGAAAATAGTCCATAAGAGTCTATAATTTCAGTCCCTAAACCGGCCCTAGAACAGCCCCAAAGAATAGGAATAAAACCAAGTAGGTAGAACCCTACCTCAATAGAAGTGTAGAGAACTTCTATAACACCAAAACAACTTCAAAACTTTGATGTCTCGTCTTGGATCTTCGGTGAAATCCACTCTTTTTGATACGTACGCGTAGCTCTCGTCGAGGAGATGAACTTTAGCTCTTGGTCCAAGTCGATTGGAGCGACGGAACTTCTTGGATCGGATAAATAAGCTTTGAAGACAAACTTTTTCTCTCCTCTCACTCTCTTCTCCCTATGGCCGACCAAGGTGATGATCAAATGAGATATTTTTCCAAAAAATCTAATTTTAAGTCTATATTTATACTCCCGATTGTGCGGTTTACATCACACGACATATTTCCTACTTTCGGTTTTGTTTTTCGTCCCGAAACGATTCATTATATCCCGATTTAAGTTCAAAATAATTTTATTTAAAATTTTATCCAATTATAAGAAAATTTTATAAATTTTATTTTTGGAGACCTTTGAAAGGTCATTCGTCACTCAATTGTCTTGTAAAACGTGCAAAATCTGACTATCCCAGAATTCGACAAAAATTGACAAGACAGCTCGATTTCGCAATACGAATCCAACGATGAGGTCTGTTGTGTCATCCGAGCTCTAGGAAAATATGAATTTTAAAACTGCATTATAGTGACAAATTACCATTTTACTCTTTTTCATAAAAAGTTCAAATTTTCCCAGATTTTACACAGCAAGTACATACTCTCTCCCTCTCCCTCTCTCACTATATATATAACAATCATTTTCGATGGCATCACAAAAATGTTCTGATGAAAGCTGAAAACAAATAAGATGTAATTCTTCGCTTTCGGAAATCAAGCAACCACTTTGATTCAAGAAGAAGCTCCACTGTGTAGAGATTGATTCTTAACCAATTGAGTATCAAGCTCTTTCGGGACAGCTTCTTCCTTTTCAAATAAAATCAATTCGATGTGGCAGGGAGATGACATGTGAAGGTTGATTCTTCCATGAGCACGGTATGTGTGACACCTCTGCTTTTGTGCTTGGTTAACCCGTATGTGAGATATGTCTATCTTTTGACTCTATGCTATATCTAAATTTTGGTTTATATTTTGTGTGGAATATTGAAATATTCCTTGAATCTTTGATTAATAATGCTATATTTTACACGTTGAATGAAGTTTTGATTTTTCATACATTGATTGACTTTGAACTTTGAAGAGTGCAAATTACATGGATTATACTTAGATTGATGTTGCTCTACACTTATATTTTGGATGTTGTTTTCATGGTGTTATGGTGTTGATGTTGCTGGGATGAGAGGATGCTCTGCTGTGAGGATGTTATGCTGTTGCAGTAGTTGTTGCAGGCTGTGAGCTGTGCAGTTTATGATGGATTCAGAAGTATAGTTTAAATTGGTTTTAATCTTTGAAGGATTAAAGCCAAATCTAAATATTGAAGTGTTTCTGTGTTGCTGCTTGTTTGGAAACTGAAGAGTTGCTGTCAAGGTTCTGTTCAGTTGATGAATGCAATGCTGTTGGATGATAAGAGGAGTGTGCTGGCTTTTGGTCAGTTGCTTTTCCCAGCGATTTTTGTAGTGGAAGCAGATTCTTGGCTGCAATTAGAGGGTGTTGTTTTGATGAATGCTGGCTTTGCTGGAATTGATTGATGCTGTGTTTGCTGGAATTGTTGCCGATGTGAATAGGCAGTGCACTTTTTGTCTTCTCAGCTGGTTCAGTAGTTGCAGCAGGTAGGCTGGTGGCAGATTTATAGTTTTATCTGTTTTCCCTGTATTTTTTAACAGAATTTAGGTTACATAACAGAAAATCTGTTTGTAACTATTTTCTGTTTTCAATTTTGTAAATACAGTCACTGTTTTTATCCTAAAAATAGTTGCTGTTTTGATTCTTGTAATTTTTGAGGTTCAATCAATAAAATTCTCTTTTAAAAAAAAAAAATCCTTAGATTGTTGCATAATAGGAGAATTGGAACCTTGAACTGAAATAGATGTATTTTTCTCTACTGAATTTTTAAGTTGTATTGAAAATTGAATGTATTGAATACATGTTTGATGATTTTAACTTTATATTTTTGATGCTATTTTCATTATTTTTGTGATTTTTTAGCCTATGTATTAATAATTATAATTATTTTTTATTATATTTACCCGTTCGACCAGTGACTTGAACCAGTGACCCGGTCCCTTTGCCGGGTTGACATCCGGGCCGGATTTTAAAATTATGATTTCCTCACGTATTAGATATAGACGTCAATGACATAATTAAATAGAATAATGAGCCTATAGATATCATTTTCAAAAGCAACTTGCATCAGAGCCTCAATACTATATCCCCATATGAAATATGTTGATCATGTGAGCTTGGGTTACCAATGAATCAGCACTACAAATATATATTTTTCCATGATATCAGTCCCTCAGACCTCCCCACACCCCCCCCCCCCCCCCCCCCAAAAAAAAAAAAAAAAAGCACCACTTGTGAAATTCTAGCTCTGAGATTGAATGTTGTGATGCTATTAATCCCATGTGAACGCATTTTCGCTGAGGATATTTCGAGCAGAAACAAGTAGTAAACCATCTAAAGATTATTACACATGGAACAAATACATGAAGTCGTATGACTTAGTAAAATTATTACACATGGAAAGAACATGGACAATACTACTACTTTAACACGATAACTGGAACAAAAATGCCTTCCATAAATCAATCAGCATTTCCAATATCACCATAAGTATTCAGTTCTGTTTACTCACCTCTGTCAATTAGTTCTAATAAGGCATTTAGTATTCTAATTGTCTAGTACAAAAACATTCATTTGGATATAGAGTAAACAAGAAGATCCGTAGAGGTATCCCATTTTCCCTCATCGTGATCATCCTCAAGAGGTTACAAGGAGATCTCAATGCCGAGCCACCAGTTCAACAAGTTCTTTGTATGCATCAGAGACATAGGACTTGACTTTCAAAGTGGCCTTTCCATCACCCTTGTCTGGAGATTCGTACTTCACCCCAATTTACCGTTGTCAGGCCTACAACAAGAAGAAATAAATCCACTCAACCTATTTTACCAGAATGAAATATGGAATCACATCAATTCAAGGAATCTCATGGTTTTTCCAAGCTGCGAGGGTGATGAAGTTGTAAGACAAGCATTTCAAAGGGAAAACAAAGGTCAACTTATCAACTATTGTAAAGTTTGGAATGCTGCCTCAGCTGACCATTTGAAATTAAAGATAGAAAGCACATAATTGTGTCCTATAAAAGAAATTAGCATCATTATTGTGCAGTGCCCGGATTCACAATTCCCATTTCTCGTTACACACACTTCACCCCTTTCCCACCCTAATTAATAAATGGGACATTTAAATAATTATTGAAAGTTGTAGGCAAGTATCAAATTTTCATTTTCAAACAGTCGAACATTTCTATTTTCATAGAAATTGAAATGAATCAATGATTGAATTGAAATTTCGATACTTCATGGTATTTTGAAATGTTACGGTATGTTTCCACAAAAGTTTAGGAATGCGTCGAGGTGTTTCAAGATGTTTCAGTGTATTTTGGCCAATGTTTTAGAAATAAATTCTTAAATTCTTTCTATTTTCGACACATTTTCAAGTGTTTCCGTTTTATAGATAATCAAAACAATACACCAAAATAAAATTTTGATCATTGATTGTGGGGCATAAAAACTAATTTTTTTGAAATAAATGGTGGTTAGTTGGTAAGAAAGTAGAAGAGTGGTAATAGGAGCCAAGTATTGAATCGTAATCGGCAAAAACCTTAGTAATGTAGATCATATTAGGGAAGAATTAGGGATGAGAAGAAAAGAAGAAAGGGATGAGAAAAGAAGAAGGGGATGAGAATAGAGAGAGAATTTTAGAAAGAAGATTCAATATCAATAATCAATAATCAAAGTCTAGTCCCTTAACAAATATGTATCCCCTATATATATATAAAGAATTCACAAATCCTATATATACAACGAAATCACAAACCCTAAAATAAATAAATAATCAAAATGACAACTAAACCCTTAAAAGTTAAAAAAAATTACTTAAAATCTAAATATTAAAAGTATATAAATAACTATCATAATTAATCTATAATATCTATCCAATTCCTACACGATCCCCATCATTCTCCTCCGGAGAGTCTTCAAAGTAGAACTACCCCAAGAGAGCAGGATGAAGATGACATAATGCCTCATCTAGAATGAAAGAACTATCGACTTCTTTCCATCGACCAGGATAAATGCAAGAATTTCTATCTGTATGAACACCTGTGAATAAAATAGGAGGCTCTAGAGTACCTCGATTAAGCAGCATGTCCTCCTAATAAAAATCTAGACTAATACTAACATTCAATGAAAAATTAAGCAAATAAGCATTAGATCCAAACTCAATAATAGTAAAATAATTCTCATTAGATTTGAACAATAGGCATTCAATGGGACAAGACATCAGTGACAAAGGAGTAACTATAACACCCTAGTGCTGAAAATAAGAAAGTACAGACTCAATTGAACACTTGACAGTAGGCAAAGAATCAAAGTTAGCACTCTCAAGTGAGGCAGAATACAAAACAATGTCAACAATCTTAGATTGGGAAGAATCTGCAACAAAGTCATGATGACTTGGACAAGTAGACATAGAATAGTCACTATTAGATTCTATAATAAATGACTCGATTGGTTTAATATCTTGCATAGGTGTAGACTCAATAGACTTTTCCACAATTTTCAAGATCAATGATAGTTCAAGAATTGACACAAACAAAGACTCACACACACTTTCTTTCGAAATGGACTCTTGTGGGTGCAAAAGAGGAAGACTCTAATATGACAAAACTAAATGAGGGAGTTGGAAGTCCATATGAGTAACATTTTTCTCTTTATCTGATACTAAAATATTTAAATTCTTTGTCACATTCGAATTAGGAAAGCATGCAGAAACAACAACATGGACATCGTTTAAGTAATCATCATACTCATATGTGATGGAATTAAAATTGGAAGATGTCCCTATCAGCAGGCTGTGATTGAGAACTCATCAAGGTATAGTTGGATTTTTTATGAAATCTCTCAACCTTTAGAGCATATTGATAGACTGCAACTAACGTATTAAAAGTGTATTGTTTAACCTCCCTACTAATTTTTTGTCTCAACCCAAAAATAAACTGATCAATTGTCCAAGGTTCTTGAACAATGTCACACAAGTACATGAGATAATCAAACTGAACAAAGTAATCAGAGACACTAGAAGAATATTGTCTAAGATTGAGTCATTGGTCATAAACTTGATCCATATAGGAAGTAGGCAAATACTTCTCTTTCAATTTATATCTCATTTCAACCCAAGTGATAGGTGATTCTCCTAAGGGGTCTAGACTTCTTTGGATTGTTTGTCAATACTTCTTGGCGGAACCTTCCAATATCAATTTAGCAAAACGAACACAATGGGAATCCGACATGTCATGTCAATCAAAATATTCTTCTAAATTTGCTAACCAATTCAATAATTAATTAGGATCCGGAGTACCACAAAATGTAGAAGGATCTTTGATTCGTTTGGTCATATGGGTTGACTCTATGTAAACATTCTTTGACTTCCTATGATAATGACATTGAGGAGAGATTCTTGAAACATGCGTATTAGAGAAACTCATGAGTGACTCTTGGAACAAGGGAATGGCGCCAAAACAAGTTCAAGAATGTAATTGACAAATAATTTGGATCCTTCGCAAATTTTTTTAATTTTTCAATGAATAAAAATATCAGTTTCAAATTTCTATAGGAGTATGCATACCATAATCAAGAGGAAATTCTGAAACTTTTTAGGAATGATTCTACAATTTTATAGATCTGTTGGGAATATTTTTTGTAATTCTGGAGCTTCTGGGGGGGAGATTCTGTAATTTCTGAAACTTCTAGTGATAATTCTGTAATTTCTAAAATTTTCTGGTAGTGATACTACAACTTCTGAAATTTTTTGGGGTGTTTCTTTAATTTTTGAAGACCTCTTGGGATGTGTCTGCAATTTTTGGGACTTATGGAGATGTTTCTGTAATTTGCTGAATCTGCTGGAAACTTTAGTTCAAAACTTAACCCACCAGGCTACTGTTACAGCGACGAAATATGATAAAAAATTGTTTCCTTTTTTTTTCTTTTACTGATGAACAGCGTTTTTGGATGATACTTCTTCAATTTACTAGAACTTCTGGGGTGATTCTATAACTTTCGAGAACTTTTGGGGAGGTTTCTGTAATTCTGGAGCTTTATAAGAGTGAAAGGGTTAAAACCAATGTCTTCTTCCTTAACACGATGGAACGAGGAAGATGGGCAACAATGAAGTTGAAGCAGCACAGGTCAACGACGAAAACTGGCGCAATGAACAGTAACAACAATGAACAGTGCACAATTATTTTTTTTTTTTATGGAACGAGACCAGATCAGTGCGCATGATGAAATTTTTTTCTTTTTTTTTTCTAGAACAGGAACGATGAATAGTAAGAATCCACCAAAGTGTCTTTTTTTTTTTTACCTAGACAGCCGGTGACAGTACGGTGAACAGTGATTTCGCGCGAACATTTTTTTTTTTTTTCGATGAACAGCGTTGTTGAGATTTTTTGTGATTTATACGAATCGAATTAGACTCTGATACCAAATTGATGTAGATCGTATTAAGGAAGAATTAGGGATGAGAAAAGAAGAAGAATGGGATAAGAATAGAGAGAGAATTTTAGAAAAAAAATTCAATATCAATAATCAATAATCAATAATCAAAGTCTAGTCCCTCAACAAATATGTATCCCCTATATATATAAGGAATTCACAAATCCTATATATATATAAAAGGATATCACAAACCTTAAAATAAATAAATAATCAAAATGACAACTAAACCCTTAAAAGTTAAAAGAAATGACTTAAAAGCTAAATATTAAAAGTCTCTAAATAACTATCATAATTAATCTATAATATCTATCCAATTCCTACACAATCCCCATCACTTAGTTTATTAATACAAAAATCTGAATTTTAAGAACTTAGAAAATAGAGATAGTGTGCTTCTCAAGTCATCTCCCCCCCTAATTTGTTTGTTATATGTAGAATTCATAAAAGTCACGTGCAATCTTCTTTAAGAAGAAAACAACAAAAGCATCACATATGGCAAACTAGTGCAATAAAGTAATTTACACAAGAAAATACTCACTGTTATGTACGCATCCATATAAAAATCTTTTGCCTTTCCAATATGCCAATGGTCTCATTTTGATCCTTTTGCTTCGTCTTACCCCACCTTCTAATGATGTACCAGCATCTGTTGAGATAACAGTTATACAACTTCTTGAAGACAATAACAAAATTTTCAAGCAATGCATAATGCAATTTGATGCACAAATAAACACCTGCAAGGCTTTGCCTCCAGGAAAATGCTTTTTTCTGGCGTGGCTCATGCTGTCTTTTTGCTTTATTTTGCTTATTTAATGATGTACCTGGACATTTCTGAGATTTTGACAAACACATTGATCTTAAGTTAGTCAAAACAGGCATATATTGAAAAGGATTTTTCTAAAATAAAAAGGTACTCTCCATAAAGCATGGGATAGACGTGAAATCTTCTAAGTATAACCAAATGTAAGAAAAAATCATAATGCGACAATCACCCACTGATTTGTCACTCTAACATCCATTTCTTTTCTTTTAAGACATCTGAACCCTATCCAGGCCACAAATGTGCCAGCAGCATCAGTTCATAATTCATGAATGAAGAAAATCAGTCACGGTAAACTCCTGAAATCATGTAAGAAGTTCGTTGGGGGAGAAGAATAAGTAGAAAATTTCAGGGGAAATAAAACAAAAGCATCTTGCCAAAGCTTCTTTATTATAGCAGAAAGAACAACTACAGCTGGAAAGTACCTGGATAGGAGGAGAAACATAGAGGGAGAGAGAGAGAGAGACCTATAACTGATTTTAGTAATTAGAAAGTTCACTAGAACGTCAAATAAGATTCAATTTGAGAGGTCAATGCACCTCAGATATTAATAGATCAAAGAAAAAGTTTCCATAGCCATAAGCCACGGTTTACACTAATAGTTTTTCAGTGCCGAATTCAGTTCTGTCAAATGGAGCCTTTCATCAAATCAACTGAGCTCAGCTCATTTAACTAACGCTGATTCCATTATGTCTTGTTTGCTCAAATCAGACTGTTGTTAGCTTTAGCTGGTGCACACTAGAGTTTTCCATACCATGACTTCAATACAATCGAAGGGTGATTTAGTAACAAATAATGTAAATAAAGATATGTAGAACTCACTAGCTACACAATTAGTGGTACAAGATTCTCAATAATACGGGCATGCACCAGATAATATCTTTCTACATCATGTAAGTTCAAGCTTTAAAAGTAGATATTATATAACAGATTTAGTACTTTTAGTTTACAAGGCAAGAACTTGCATAGCAATAAGAATAACCCAAGAGAAAATGATCACGATAGTAGGATACCTCAATGTATTCTTCTTGACCAACTTCTGAGGTCGTAGAGGGTACATTCATGTCATGGTCTCCAACTGCAGCAGGAGTTGATTTTTCTGTCGAAGAAACAAGAAAACACACACTTATCAAACTACAAATTGAAGGCATTCCAATAATATAGATTGTATGAGCAGTTTATCCATAACAAGAGGTGAAAGTACATGCTGAAAAAAATTTCAGGGGAAAGAAAACAAGACTTCATTGCCAAAGTGAACCACAATTCAACATCATTGTATGAGCTAATAGTTGTGAATTTGGAGTTAGGGCTTAGGGTTAGGATTATTATTTAGGGTAACCTATGTCGTGGGGCAATTTGAGGTTAGCATAACTATATAAGGTCAGGAATTTGGAGGATCTAGCTCATGAATACACTCAATTTGGGGTGTGTCGTCTAGAGTACCTACAATCCCAGTATCACTAACGCAGACCAAATTCCAGTATACAGAAGTAGAACTTGTTTGCAAAAGCTTCTCATCTTTTAAATCTATCAGTAGATTTGAGAAAGTCCACGAAAGAAGAAAAGGGGGGCTAGCAAATGATAAAAGAATGAAAAATCTCTTTAAGAGCTATCAACAGGATTGTAATACACCAGGCAAAAATTAAGGGATCCGGAAGGAAGAGAAGGGTGCTACCAAACGATAAAAGAATGAAAAATCTCTCGAGATAGATACAGGGTGTAACACTTGGGCAAACTTGGAGATGCTCCTATTACCCTCCTAGTTGGATAAGCAATCACTTGGCAGCATGCCATGCATGGACCAGGAAAGGAGAAAAGAGGGCTACACAATGATATTGGAATGAAAAATTACTTACGAGGTAGTGGGTTGTAAAACACAACCACAAAACTTAGGACGCTCCTAACACCCACAGAGTCACATTGGTCATCACTTGATGAGCACACATTGCATGGTAACTGTTGTATTGACTGTGGTTACCAAAACCTTTATCTGGATCATAGAATCCTACGATCCAATACACTCAAATCCGACTGAATCTCTTAAAAAATCCCTGGTTCATAGAATCCTAATAGATTGATATTTGAATCATGTAGGATCGTAGGATCTCAATCTTAATTAAGATTTTATCAATCCAAGTTGTTATGTTTATTTGTTAGGCACCTTTAGTTATTGAGCTAGCCCAGTCCAAATTTATTGCTTTAATCCTTAATCACCTAGCACATATGTGATTGTCCCATACGGTTATCAGTTCATTAGTAAATTTCGATGTATGAGAAAAGCTAGGGAAAGTTCCTCATTACAAGAAGCTCTCTTCATGTTGAAAACAACGGTTACGTTAGTTCTCTTCTCCCTCAGCGATGATTACAACTAGATATGTCCTCCATTTTCATTCTCCACTTTTTTTTTTTTGTTGGACATCAAATAACCAAAGTTGTTATTCAATAGTCCCTTGACTTTTTTGTTCTCTCTGTTGTCTCTGTCTCTCTTAATTTTAAAATCAAAATACTCCAATCCTCCTATTACTCTTCACAAAATCCCATAAGATTAACAATCCACCCTTATTTTCCTATCCTCTTTAATACCTTGACTGTAATTTCTCATGTCTTAGTCATGTCGTAAGGAAGGTTAGCATAAATACAACGATTCATTTCCAATTTCTCAGGAAGATGCCAACTGTTCTTTAGGTTAATGAAAAAAGGAGTACTGTTTGAATGAATGGAACAAAAAATGCACCAAACTAGTGTTTCCTTATCTTCTTTTGATATATATTTACATATCGGTCCCCATCCTTTGTTAAATTGTATATTACACTGTGCTCATATATTTGTTTGTGGTAACATATCTGCATTTTGCATATTTTTAAGAAATTTGTATTATTATATATACTGTTACTCTTGTCTTTTCGGTTTGTAGAATCTTACGATTTTTAATCTAATTCTATGATCATTGTCCTTTAGCGTCCCCCATTGATCCAAGATAAGATCCTAATTTTAACCATTGTAGTAATAATCATTCTTTTGTGACTGACTCTGCTATTGAATGAGCATATCTGTATTATAAGTTTGTAGCCCATGTCTAACAAATGGATTGATTTATATGAGCATAAAACTATGGAAAGTTTTGAATTTACTAAATGGGGGGCACAACATGAGAAAGAAGGATCAGAAGGCGCTAAATTCCACAATGAAGTGAAAAAGTTTAATCAGTGTCAAAAATGAATGTCTCTAAACAAATTGTGCACTAGCTTACGCTCAACATTTACTTCTTATAAGTAACTCATTACTAGCTAATATATTCTCCCCCTTTCTTCTCTCCTAGGTTTCACTTCAAGTATGATAAATTCGACCTTTTCCATTTTTGAAAAGGAAAGTAGTTTCTTTGGTTGGTGATTGTTTTACTGTTTTGTTTATTTTTAAATCATTCTTGTGGAAGAATCATAAAAGAAAAAAGAAAAAAGGTCCCTACTAAAACTGTGCTAGAAGATGCAACATCCATACCAGCAACAAGCTTTATAATCTCTTAAATAACTAGCCATCTCTGCAGAGAAGCATATGCAGTAACCTCATCCCTAAGGAACGTTTGAGTATATTATTTTCACTTGTGGCTTCACTTCATATTCCAGAAGACTCGGGCAATATCATATAACTATGTCAGCCTAGATTTCCACCTGATGGTGCTTTTATAGCATTTAGGGTTTAACTAATCATAATTATCCACAAAAGAAATGAAGAAATTAGTTATGGACGTACAAAGAACAGAACTGTAATGGCTGTCACAATGGATAATCAACAAGCAGGTAATGTGTTGTTTGAAATCCTAGATCAGAGAATTGACTGCAGATAGGTAAAATAGGTTAGGTCGTCTACCAGCAACTCATATCACATAAATGTCACATCATTCAACAGTGAAGCTAATAGTCTTATGAGGATGACTACTTGTAAAGCCAAGCAAAACACCACAATCGTACCAAACTGACTCTGACTGCTGTTCAAGTTTTCGACGGCAGAATCCTCCAGAATGACATCTGGTTGTGCAGAAGATGTTGCTTTCTGCAGAATATCTTCAACCTGCTTTTTCATAGGACATCACAATCTAGCTGTCAGTATTGCTACTTTCGCAATCCCCTTCGAATGATAAAGCCTAATAGGGGTAAAGAAACTTACATTGTCCTCCATTTCAATGGATCCATAAGCCCGCGTATCTGTATCTGACTTAGTAGAGCCCTCATCGATCATAGGTTGTTGTACAGTGGACACTGCTTGCTGAAACACATCTTCGATCTGCATTTTTGTCTCAACAAATACAGCATTCTGTAGCAAGATTTCATAATCTACAATCTTAGTGCATAAAATGTGTGAAGAACGTCACATTCTCCTCCATGTCATTGGGCCCATTTAGCAGAACATCAGTGTCAGTATTAGGCCTACTTGCACTTGTATCCATAGTCCAATCACCCATATTTTGGCACCCACCACGATCCTCCAAGTCACCATGAGATCCAATTGGACTGAAAGAAATACCACCACATTGTCTGCTCGAGGTGTCATTCAAAGATTCGTCAGGTAGATGAACTGAACCTCCTGTTATCACCTTTTGTAAGCCTGTATTAGCAACCATAGTTTTTGTAGTTTCATCTCCTTCTAGTGACTTCAACTTGCTAGAAGTGCGAGATTTCTCCCGAATAACAATCTGTTCAGATTGCTTTTCAATGTGTTCTACAGAAGAATGATATCTGATGGCTGATAGATCCACATTAAGAGGTGAGAATGGATCGCGCAATGGATTTAACTGCGAAATCTGTTTTTTCAACAAAAGTATTGAAGCAAATGGACTTCTTGGTGGGGCGGGTGATTCTAGAGAATGCATGGAGCTTTCTGCTACTTGTTTATGTTTTGCAGGTGTTTTTTCCCGTATACCTTTCACCAAATTATGCACATCCGACAAAGAGTTGTGGCGTCTTGGCAACTTCTCTTGAAAAGCTGCAAAATCAGTCTTTCCAGTATCAGAAAAGTCAGGGAGGCATAATTTTCCTAGATCAAGAGGTTTGATCTGCAACCGCTCCAGCAAAAGAGAAAAAGCCCTATTCCCCTCTAAATCTTCATTATTACTGGATAATAATTCATGCAAAAGCTCGTTCACTCGGCTCTCGGTCTTAGCTATTGATCCTGTTTGAAAAATAATCAACCATTTTATCAGGTGCTATTAGATAAAAAAGAAAATATGCATAGACAATAATAGACTACAGCATAAGAAAGATAGGCCCCAGTGGAAAGAATAACAGCATCAAGAACAAAACCAATCAAAATTGACATGCGCTCACTGTTTAATTCAATATCATCCACTCACCTGCTAATTCTATTTCCTGGGTTTCAACATCCATATCAGCTGTCTCTTCTCGTAAATCAGGATTAGGTGGACTGAGAACTTCTTGTTCCAATATGTCTTGACAGGATGTAAAAGTGTTGTTATTTTCAGACAGAACAGATGAATAGCAGTGCTTATAACTAACTGACTTCCTGGAACAGAAAAAAAGAATGTATAAACTCAGACACACATAAAGGTACAATAAATTTTGCAATACAGGCATTATTAAAGAATGGCTAATAAAGCAAGTGATGATACCCCAACATTCCTGGTCGACGACGTCGCGCATTCATGGATGAATTGTACTCATTTAGATAAGTCGTATTGCCACCCGTCTGTCTTTGTATTTCTTTTCTGGCATCTGCAAACCAATTACAAGAGAGGGCAAAAACTAGTTGCATGCAAACTACTGGAAAGCGTACTCAGAGAGGTCAAAGATCCAGGATTTACTTTCAAGCTTTTCGTAAGCAGATAAAAATTCCTCCGGGTTTTGGAGATGATCAATCTCCAAAGATGCTTCCAAACTCATGATAGGCTTACTGCCAAATCCATTGCATTGTAAATACAACATATATTTAAAAACAAAGTACAATGCTCAGGAAATTAAGCATCACCTTGTACCAGGCTTCAAAGAAAACCGAGCCCTCTTTCGGCCCGACCCAGGCCTTCGTTCTTGAGGGTTTTCCTTGCCCTTGGCTGCAAAAGTGCCATTATTGTCCATAACTGCTACAAAGCTGGAGTTCAAAACTTCTGAACCACCACTGATGACTGCCTTTGCCTTCTCTAAAAGCTTTTGAGGATTTCTTAACCCCTTATCGCGTACAACAGAAATAGAATAAAAATTCAATCACCACATTTGTTTTCCAAAAAAGTAGGTGGTTTTCGAAATCAATAAGGGTGGCCTACATGTATGATCTTGGAAATGTCCAAACACACATACTGAAGCATTTGGGTCAAAGAAATAAATTTTCATATCATATGCATGCAAAATGAATCTCAAACAACAAAATGTGATCATTATGTATGCCCTCTACCAAACTAAATATAACAGATCCAATTTCCCAGTACAGTCTCCTATCAATTTTTTTTAACTAATAACTAAATCGAAGCAAATCAATTAGCTCAAATTACTCTGTCATTACAAAATCACACACACACACATGCATGAACTTACATTTGACTCTAAAAATGACAAAGTAGACTAATTTAATACAAAATTTACACTTCACTAGTGAATGAAATTAGTGAAAACTGAACAACGTTGTTCAGTTTTCACTTACATAGATAAATACATAGATAAATACATAGATAAACTGAACAACGTTGAATACATAGATAAATACTCACCCTAGGTATGTTACTTGAAAACACCTAAACAGATGTACGGCAAGAAGTAGAACGAAAATAGATATGAAATATGAAGAAGAATACCATTGATTTCATGAAATCGTGAATTGATTGTAGGTCGTCGGGGTCCCTAGGGTTTGAGGGATCTGTGGAAGCCCTAATTGTACGAGGGAACAGAGAGAGACCAGAGTGACCATGAAGCGGATCCACCAGTTCGGAGTTCTGAATTTCACTCACCATCTCTTCTTCACATGACTGAGTTCAGTTTTGAGAACCCTAGAGTGAGACAGTGTATAGATCATAGTTTTAAAAACCGGTCTGAACATCAACCTGGCAAAGAGACCAGGTCTGACTGGCCCAACCATCGGCTCACCGGTGAAATAATAAAAATAATATTAAATAATTATAAATAGGCTAAAAAATTATAACAATTAAAAAAAATAAGTTAAATATATTGTATATTAGATCAAACAAAAATCCCAAAATTATCAAACATGCATCCAATATCAAATAAATAATATGAATAATTCAATATTTCACATCTAAATTCAAGCATATGCATTATAATTTACAACCCATACAAAGGATTTTTTATTTTTTTTTTAAATCTGCTCTCAAAAAATCTATTCTTCCAATTCGAAAGTTCCAACACTTCCAAAATTTCAACACGAGATAGCATAATCAACTACAAAATTACAAATACAAATCAACTAATAGCATAATATAAGAGCCGAATGAATCTTCAAATCAAATAATATCACAATTACAAACAAAATATAATAGCAGATTGTAGATAGAAAGAGAGAGAGAGAGAAACGCAATATATACTTGATACTGAAAGAGAAGGATGAAGATTTGCCATGGCCTGTGAGTCGAAGTTTTGAAGGTCTGTTGTTTGAGTCTCGAGATAATTGAGTCGAAGAGTTCAATGAATCTGAGATTTGAGATCTGAGTACTTCGATTTCGATCAATAGTTCGATTGGGCTGAGTGATTTGTTGCTGAGGCAGTGAGGCCTAAGTTGAGTACAGAGCGAACACAGGGGCAGAGAGAGAGAGTCGAAGAACCAGTGCAGAGAAAAGGAGTCGAAGAACTGGAGCAGAGAAAAAGAAATTAACAATTGGGTAAAAATGCCCTAGAACTTTGCTTTTATAGCTTTAAAATGAAACTGTCCAGTTGGATATAAACTGTCCGGATTAGCGGATTTATTAGAAAATCGTCCGGTTCAGCTCGAACGATCTGATAACTAAATCGGCCCGATTTAAGCTTCGGTCCACCGGATCAACCCGTCAAATCGGGTTTAAAACACTGATATAGATAGAGATTGTGAGTGTGCCACTAATATTTCGAAATACAAACTTAGCGGGAGTGGACGAGTGATGCCCACTTTGGGCCGAACAAATTTTGTTATCGACCCACTATTTGGTAATAATACTATTTCAATCCGATTAATTAATTTAAGGGTTTTTTGGAAGTCAATACATCTAATTAGACTTATTTGGCAAAAAATAAATAAAACAAAATATTTTAAAAAAAGTACACAATTGAGATACAAATATGTAAATGCTCATTTTATGGTCATTTAATTCAAAATCTCTTATCTTTAATGTATATTGATTTATGTGTGTTTGTTAATACAGATATATATATATATACTCTTATCTAAATTTTGAATTACTTTTAATGCACCTTGATTTATGCATTTTTTTTTTTTGGAAAGTGATTTTGTTTTTAAATTATATTTAATACACCTTGATTCATGCGTTTTTTTTTTTAAAGTGGTTTTATTTTCAAATTAATTTAATATCTAAATAGTATAACAGTGTAACAATAATAAGTATAAAAGTGTAACAATAAAAGTATAACAAATACACCGTAACAAATGCAGTGTAACAATACACTGCAACAAAAACAGTGTTCAGTAATTTTGTGCATGTAATAACAAATTCAAAATAGAGATAGACTATTTTGAATGAAATTATATAAAACTATATGTTTGACAAAAAATAATAGTACAATATTTGGTGTAAATAGTTTGTTACACTGTTATTGTTATATTGTTATATTATTATTGTTACACTATTCGGATATTAAATTAATTTAATAATAAAACCACTTTCAAAAAAAAATACATGAATCAAGGTGCATTAAATATAATTTGAAAACAAAATCACTTTACAAAAAAAAAAAAAAAAAATACGCATGAATCAAGGTGCATTAAAAATAATTCAAAATTTAAATAAGAGATTTAATAACAAGTATATATATATACGTATTTATATATATATTTATACGTATTTATACATACATGAATACATACTTTATATATATATATATATATATAAGTATCAAAATTAAGGACTTCATTACCCAACATTTTTTTCTGTATACTTTTTTGCAATTAAGTTTAATTTGGTATACCTATTTCCAATTTCTCCTTAATTTAACTCATTAATATAATTTATCATTGAATAAATAACAGATCACAGTTATTAGGCACCTAAGCAGAGACCTTGGAAGGGTTCCGAATGGAAGGGTGGCTTCGAAATATGCATACAATGGAAGCAACTCAGGCATGACCTTCTTGCAGTTATGTTCTCGTGGTGGTCAGTTACAACCCTCTACTTCAATAAAATTTGGGACACTTGGACATAGAGAATTATCTATAATATAAAATAGGGCAACTTCAACAAACAAATCCAATGGTTACAAATCATTTCATCCAATGGTCACAGATCCTCTCATTTCCCCCCAAAAATTTCACCCATAATTTTTTTCAAAGCCTTGATCAACTCAGTCACTTCACTGTCAGATATTCTAGAGTTCCTCACCCCTTACTCTCAGTCTTACACTTCTCTCTCTCATGCATTTTCTGACTAATGCTTATTTTGTACTTCCTAGGCGAATTCAAATGTGAATCACTTGAAAAAACCTAAGTATTACACCATCGTCAACGAAGGGGAAGAAAAAACAGACACTTTAGTGGAAAAGAAAATTGGTTTACTTAACCAGTATGTTGTACTAATCTTTGTTTATGTGTTGATCCTATTGTATCAATAAAAATTATTAAACACAACATATCTAATAGCTATTTAATGTGTTGGTATTTCGGTTAGAGTGATATACACTACATTGTCGGTGATATTTTTGAGTTCCTCACCCCTCACTCTCAATCTTACACTTCTCTCTCTCACGCACACACAACTCCATACCATCATCGAGGAGAATTATTGTGTTGTGGTATTATTATGAGAGTAATATTTATTATGCTTTTGATTTTAAAAAGTTATGTTTTTGGACACGCTAACATATTGTCCAAATTATGTATTGTTTTCCTTAGTCATTCTTACATATTATAAATTGAGTTAATGTGATTAATTCTTAGTTAATTTTCTTAATTTTTTGTTTCTTTCATAAATTGCTACATTGTATTTACTTATTGTCGATTAATGCAATTTCTACTAGGGATTTGAAATTATATTAGTTTACTAATTGTTTAACTTATTTCACACGTCACTTACTATCTTAGGCTCCCGCATCAAATTTCATTTCCTCTAAAATTGAGACCCAACACGCCAGACGTGAACAAAATCGCAACGATAGTAGTACGTGCTCGCCGCGCGAGCTGGTAGAGCACGCACGTCGGGAAAGAGAACGTTTTGGGAATAACACTCGCGTGACGCCAACTCGCGTGCCCAATACAACAACTAATTCAGGGAGGCGACACCAGTCCCTCTCCCAGTTCCCCAACCATGCAACACTTGCTAACATGGTTAATGCAGATTACCATACAATCCCATCGCGTTTCCAACCATCTCTTAGTACAATATTGGCTGAACATTCACCTAATTAGTTGTGCAATGTCGAGGTACATTTAATATTCTCTTCATTTGTATTTGGATTAAAACACTTAAAACTAACTATCTACAATGCCAGAATGAATGTGTACTTGGGCGGGAAACAAGAACTCTTTAACAATCATACTGCACCTTCAAAGTCAGAAATATGTCACACACCCACTAATTGCCTGAAAAATGGAAAAGAAAATATGTCTGCCTCTTTGGTAAGTTTTTTGATTAATGTCTTCGGATTGATAAGTATTTCTATTGCTCTTAAGAAAAATATAGTTGTAATGTATTGTTTTTGCCCTGTTGGATAGTTGCATAGGAAAATACTGGTGATTTACACTCCCTCACAACCCTTATGTCATGATTTGCAAGACCTAACTCTATTGCACCGAGCCACTATAGCACACCTTCCACACAAAAAAATACGGACACATAATTTAGAATGTTTTCTAACACCTACAATTGCGTTCGACCTAATTGTCATTCCAACTAACTTCGATCTATTCTCACCTGTTCCTATGCGACCTTTACCTTCGCCTCGGAATTTAGAGACAGACTTTTCTCACTAGATACTGTCTCCGATGTAGCACCATATCCTCATCAAATTGACGGCAATGCCCTCATCACGTCGTCTCCTGTTCCGGCAAATCTAATAGGGTATGTATATTTTTACGTAGTTTATTAACTGTCTAATATTTTCTTACTCCTCATATTTGTGTGCGTACAATTTTTATTTGTAGATCCCCACCAGAACCCTTTAGTGATGTTGACAGTATGGTTACTGATGACGAATCAAATGTTATTGTCTCTGTCAGTAATGAGTGTCTTTTTCTCGGGCCAATGAATATTTAGTGTCCTTATTGTTTGGCCTTATATTGGAGGGATGAGCAATTATGTCGCACCGGATTGTCCAATCCAAGATTTGGAACATGTTGTCTAGGCAAATTAGGTTACCGGAACTCATTGCACCCCCACCTCCTATTCGTGCATTGTACGATGGCCATGATGGTCAATCAAAATCATTTCGCTGACATATTAGGGAGTACAATACAGCCAATGCTTTCATGAGTTTGGGTGCTAAGCTTGATGACAAATTACTCAACTCAAGAGGGCCAACATCATTCACTATCCATGGAGAATTATGTCACCGTATTGGGTCATTGTTACCCTCGGATGGTCACGCACCCATCTACAGTCAATTATACATATATGACCCAGTCACTACATTGAATATTCAGTGTGCACAGAATAATAACATGCGTCGAGATGTCCTCCACACTATACAAAACTGTCTGTTATTAGTGAATCATTTTGATTCAAAGTACAAACGTGCACATGAAATACTAATTGAGTCAAAATCTTCAGATCATGATTTATATGCTCACCTTCATTAC